TTTAACTTATGCTATACACTGTTTAGCTTCTCTGTATTGGTATACCGTTAAAGCAAGTAAAGTAACGGTATCCCTGTAACAGGCCGTGAAGGCCCATAGGGTCGTGAGATGTTGAGGTTCCCACATTTTCTAGACAATCGGCTCATAGATGGCGGCAAGGTTGTGTAACCGTTCATCATAATTTGGTGGACTATTTTGTATTAATTAAGTTTATATTAAGTTAATATCACGTAAATACAAAGAGATCCGGCAGATAGCCAACTCGTACACGCAGAAGGGACATAGTTCAAGTTTTGCTATGTGGACAGGAAGTAACATCTGGTACTTTTCGTGGAATTCTGGCAGATTCAGCAGAGTCAGAAAGTCTTTGAGAATTTGAGAGCTGACAGCTTGGAACAGCTATAACTTAGAAGTGGGATGGCCGGAGCCTCATCCACTGATCGTAATGCATCAAGTCGTTGTCAGGTCAGCAACTGCCAGAAGCATATAGCAAAGCAAGCACAAATTTAGGGAACTTCCTAGTTTTCAAACAAAACTAATGGCACAGGTTGGAGGAGTGGATTTCTCTTGGAGTCTGTGGTTCGTGGACCTCAGGATTCCGAGAGAGAGCATTCTACCTCAAGAGTCTTCATTCAACTTTCGGCCAAGTCAGACATAAAATACAACTACGTCCTTTCAGTAAAAGTATTATATGTTAAAATCCATATCAGTGTTACTAATATCGTAGTTTCCGTTGCATTCAGCGAGCTGGAGTGAATTAAATAATTACTGAAGTGCAAAAGTCTTGAAGTGGTGTACGTGATTGTAGCATAAGGATCTTCCTGTCCTGCCCGAGCCAGACCCGTATAAGACCCCGGGATAAGAACTCATCTCTACATATTACAGAGCAAAACCCAGCTACTCCATTCTTTCCCTACTTGCGGGACACCTAATGGTAGTACAGGAACGAACTCAGGCCTACAAGCGCCAACAACCACAATTCTGCTCCCTTCACACCTAACGTCTCGACATCCACGAGAAATGGAAGGAGGGCAGTAACTCCAGTGGAGGTGTCCAGACACGAGGTGCAGGTGAACCGCAGCACCGGAAAGGAAGGGATACAGGTAAAGAACTAATAAGTGACCAAAATTCTGGCAAAAGGCAGTTACAAGTGGAGCCAAAAGTAAGGGGCAACACAGAACAACAAAGTGAGCGCTGAGAAGTGGAGCCCAACGTAAGGGGAGTTAAAAGGACGGTGATAGTTGTCAGCCCTACGCGCCGGCCGCCCTTTGCCCCCAAGAATATTCCCAGAATATTTTGGGTACTCATTTCTGTTAGAGACTAAGTTGACCCCAGGGTCATAGTGCGGCTGGAAGGATTAGGTCAACTGAAAAAATCAAATGACCTCATCGGGACTTGAACCCGCGACCTTCGGGCTTGTAGCATAGTGACTCAACCAACTACACTACCGCGTGCCCCATTGGTATACTGTTACCATTTTTTTCTCCTTCTTGTTTCAGGGTACTTCCTTAAAACCAAAACTATCATACAGATCATTACAACATGTCAAAATAAGGGTTCGATAACTAAATATATCTAAATAAAAATTAAGAGTGAAGTGGAATCACAAAGGATAGGAGACTGTGGCATGTGAGGCCCAAAATATAGTTTGTACTTCAATTTACTTAAAACGGCCATGACACAGCACAGTAACTTTTGTGCAATACTGGCATCAGTAACATGCCAAATGGTATCTCTGTCTGAGGTTGATAGCATAATGCCATGGCAGCGAATAAAACCAACCACAAGTGGGAAGTCAGTTTCAAAGCCTGCAAGTTAACGGTTTTGAGTTCTGTCACATATGAACATAAATACTGAGCCATGTATTAGCTCCGGTATGACGTCATGGGCTTCCAGCCCCTTGATCGAAGTTCTTAAACTTATCCCCCACCCCCTCCCCATGCGGGACTGGATCACGTGGTGTCGCCCTCTCCCCTCCTTTCTACACTTGGGAGCGCTTGGGAGCCTTGCTTGGAAGTTAATTCGAGTTCGGAGGACAGTTCTGGTTATGGATCCGTAGGGCCTTGCTTGCGGCGCGATCCAGCCGGAGCGATTGTCAAATTCCTGTTCGGCTGGGAGTCCAAAATTGGTTTCGGCAAGTACTGGGCTGGTTCGCGGCCGACGAGATCGCCCGCGGTCGCCCGTCGTTGGGTTTGTAAAAGAGCAATTAGTTGAGTTGTTCTGTTTAATTTCTTGGGCTCGTGAGCTGTAACGACGATGAATTCTTGTCTTTGGTTATGTGTTAGTTGTGTTTATTAAATTCTGTTATTTGTTATTATATTGATTGCCATCATTGTAACTAGATTTACCTCGCTGCTAGCTTGGATCCCTTCCTCTAACTTAGGGAGCGTGAGAGCACAGCGCGAGAGCCGTATGACGGAGCACCGTTTCCCCTTACGATTGAGGAAGAGTAGACGGAGCCGAAAGGTGCCAGAGAGTAACGGTGCTGTGGTAGCAGACCGTAAGACGGTACAAGCGGCACAAGTGGTACCAGAGCGGTAGACGGCACAATACAAACATATAACTCACACATTTTTTAAAAAATAACTCGCCCCCCTTTCCTTTAGGAGCAACTGGTTTCGGTAAAGCATATGGGTTTAATCTTGTTTTGTAACTCCTTGTATTTCTTGTACTTTCTCTTGTAGCAATTTTTGGTCCGCCAGCTTCATGTGGACCAGATTTACAAGCGTTCACGGGCTCTTCCACTTTAATATTACTGCTATTCTTTTCATTAAAATTAAAGCAATCATTGCACAGTTTACCTTCCGGAGTATTTTTCCACATAGTACATTCAGTTTTCTGGCACTTGACACGTTCCGGTTTTATTCCAAGAGGCATCTTAAAATTACCTTGACGTATATCCAAATATAAGTAATGAAAATTTCGAGACAATCAATCCCAGTCACAATAAAGATAGACCAAAAACAACTGGAGAATGTGAAATGTTTTAAATATTTGGGTAGCTTGTTAACAGATGATGGAAGGTGTACTTGTGAAATTAAATCCAGGATTGCCATGGCAAAAGCTGCATTTAGTAAGAAGAAGATTCTTTTTACCAGCAAATTGGACTTAAATTTGAGGAAGAAACTAGTGAAATGCTACATTTGGAGCATAGCTCTGTATGGGGCTGAAACATGGACACTTAGGGCAGTAGATCAGAAACATCTGGAAAGTTTCGAAATGTGGTGTTGGAGAAGAATGGAGAAGATCAGTTGGACCGATTATGTGAGAAATGAAGAAGTGTTAATTAGAGTCAGTGAGCAGAGGAATATCCTACACGAAATAAGAAAACGGAAGGCTAATTGGATTGGTCATGTTTTACGCAGAAACTGCCTTCTAAAAGAAGCTATCGAAGGAAAGATAGATGGGCGGATAGAAGTGACAAGAAGACGAGGAAGAAGGCGTAAGAAGTTGCTGGATGACCTTGGGGACAGAAGAGGATACTGTCATTTGAAGGAGAAAGCTCTAGATCGCATTACGTGGAGGAACTGTTTTGGAAGAGACTGTGGACCGGTCGTCTTGACAGATTACTGATGATGATGATATCCAAATTTAACTTCACTTCACTCACTCCTCCAAAATCTTTAATATATAGCGATAAATAAACGAATCAAGTAGAAAAACTGGAGTACACATTAAAAACAATATTATCTTAACTGAATTCTATATTACTTTATCATTCCCTCCAATAATAACATACGAAATTCGTTTCGAACACGATCACGAAGTCACGGATCACTATTAACCAGAGGCCACATATGGCAAAGGTGATCACAGGAATAGCTAACTTGACGAAACTGAGCTCTCAAGCAGTGGACGGGATGGCGAACTTAAGTGTGAGGATATTGATAGGCATGGGCATCAATAGTAGTTTTACGTATCGGTCCGGGTTGGTGGGTCTGTATATTGAAAGAGTTGATGGCACCATATTTAAAAGCAACTCTAACTTTTAACATTAATATTTGAAATATTTATATTTATAAACGTAAGGGTAAATTTGTCTCCGTGCTAACTAATTATGAACCTGGCCATTATGACACATGGGGGACTCCACCATTCCTGACCTCGGTACTGGGTGGAGATGAGTGGTCAGCTTCACAAACCAGCCGCTTTACCGTATGCTAAGAACCCCCGATACCCATTGGACAAGGAGCTGGATGTGCTCCAGGGTGGGTCTGAACGCTTCGAATGAAAGTGTTTTGCCCCTGCCAGGAATCGCACAACGCCAGTCCAGCCCCTATCCCGTCGCTCTACCGACGTAAAACTATCTCTGTGCTGAACTGCATAATTAAGCACTACTCCATGAAGGCATGCACCCATTGGAATCTATGGATAAGTAAAGATCTCTTGGCCCTACATGACATCGAACCTCAGTCGTCGAACACGTAGCCTAGTCGCTGTACCGGCTGAGCTATCTATAGCCTATAGTTTTTATTTACTCTAACGACCGCCTTTGTGGTCTAGTGGTCAGCGTTCCTGGTTACAGATCCAGAAGTCCCGGGATCGATTCCCAGCCCTACCAGGATTTCTGAGATGTAGGGGTCTGGAACGTGGTTCACTTAGCCTCGTGAGGATAATTGGGAGATATTTAAAGTAAACAGCTGCTCCAGTCTAGAAAACTGAGATTAACGGTCGTCGGGATCCGTTGCGCTGACCACGCGACACCCTCTATCGGCAATAGTTGGCATTAACTTTGCCGACAAGTGGTGGTCGCTCGATCGATATACTTCACTTGCGGACTAAAGCCACGAAGTACTACGACTGTACGCAACAGTCTCGTTTATATATAATGAAATGAGTACATTTTTCTTTCTTAAAAATGAAATTATTGACTGAATCACAATTGAAGAAATTGTTTTAAATATTTTTTCTTTGGTATGTGCTCTTTGGAGGAAATGAGGGCATTTTGGAAAGCTTGAGCATGTCTGACAGCGCGCTGCATTTATAATGAATGTCGCAGGTTTCGTTGAAATCATTTTATTCTTTCAAATGACCTGCTTGAAATGCTGTAATAATCCTACACACAGTCATACATTTTTTATTACTATTATTTTGTTACAAACATTGTGATGACTTCCTAGCATTCGCCGGCCTGCATTTCTTCATTCCACGCAAATGTCGTTCTTGCAGATATAGGGACTCCTGCATTTTACAGTGATCGGGAATTGATTACGCGCACATGACTCATTCAAACCTGTAAATAGAAGTAGAACAGTTGATATTTGTAAATATCTATGAGACATAAGCATACAACTGTACAGATTATTCGGGAAGTGAGCTAAGACACTGAACTATACAGTAGCCAAGGCAGTCATTTCTACTAATGAACAAACAAAAACAAACTTTGCTGCTTTAGCCCGCAAGCGAACTATACCGACCGAGCGACCGCCGCTTGTCGGCGAAGTTAGTGCCAATTATAGCGGATAGAGGGTGTCGCGTGGTCAGGGCAACGGATCCTCACGGCCGTTAATTTCAGTTTTCTAGACCGGAGCCGCTATTTTTCCATTCATGTAGCTCCTCAGGTATCCTCACGAGGCTGAGTGGACCCCGTTTCAGACCCACTACTTCTCAAAAAAATCTGGTAGCGCCGGAGATCGAACCCGGGACCTCTGGATCTGTACCCAGGAACTGTGATCACTACACCACAGAGGCGGTCAATTTCTACTAGTACGTCAGCTTATCATTGATACTAATTCTATTTTGGGGTTGCTACACCGTGTGACTCTGGGCGATACGTGTATTTCCGATGTTTCAGGAAGAAGAGAATTAACTTCAACATGCCAGTATGTGGTCAAGATGAAACGTACGAAAGGATATGTGACACGCATTATGCATTCACTCTATGAGCCCCTACCTTTATACACGGTGCACACACTACAGCAGCGCTCTGGTGGGTGGTAGTCGAGATACTCGCCCGGGCAATCTTCTCTGTTGACACCGACACAGAAGACAGATGCACATCGGTCTAGATTTGGTGGATAGGGCGGAGGTGAGTCACACCATGCCAATTTACCAATAGCTACCAGCAACAAAACCAGACGAAACATCTGTAACAAGTACAAATCCGTAAAACTTATATTCGGAGGACACTGGGTCTTCATCAACCATAAGATACAGAGGATAATACACTGTAAAATATTCAGTTGGTGATGTAAGTCATCTGTATCCGGGAGGCATGAAGTTAAATTATCGGTCTGGATAGCAGCTGTCCTATTGTAGTATTTCATGTTTATCTTTGTAGCGGGTTCAAGTCCCGATGAGGTCATTGGATTTTTTCAGTTGACCTAATCCTTCCAGCCGCACTAGGCCCTGGGGTTTACTCAGCCTCTAACAGAAATGAGTACAAGGAAGTAATTAAATAATTTTCCTGGGGAGTAAAGCGCGGCCGGCGCGTAAGGCTGACAACCTTACCGCCATCTTTGAGCCGATTGTCTAGAAAATGTGGGAGCCTCAACGTCTCACAACCCTATGGGCCTTCACGGCCTGGTGCAGAGATAGCTTTACTTTTTTTTTATTTTACAGTGTTCCCTGGCGAATGCTGAGACAGTATCTTCGAACAACACGTGGCAGCGTCCCTCTAAATCCTTACTTACCATTCACGGCCACATTTCATCTGTGAAGTTGTCTCATTTTCCACAATCACCCTGAAAATCAAACTGTAAAAGAGAGTGCCAGAATAGAACTTTCAAGGGCTCCATGGCTTCCATCTCAGTCATTTTAATTTCGTCGTAAATAATAATCCAATCTCTTTCCTCGAACAGAAAATACAACTCTTTCCTAACTATAATACGACCTCATAGAAGAATGAAAAACGGGAGACAATCAAAACAACAATTAAACCATTACATCTCTATAAATTAATGAACTGAACAGAGCCCTTCTTCAGAAACTAAGGGCGAGGGAACTCCAAGGAAAATGGCAACCGTAACGCAACTGCAATATCCGAGACATTTCGCCGATTCCAAGCAAGCAACTGGTTTCCATAGCAGCAGGCTCACACTGAGGAAACTTACGTTTGATTAGGTGCTCACATCATCTTAAGTGGGTATGTTCGTCTGACGTAATGCACGACTGTATCTTTTAGTTTCATAAACTTACTTTTTCCAGTAGAAGATAACACTGATCCTGCCATAATATGGCGGTAGTTGAGACCGGATTAGACGGCGTGAGAACAGAGGATGACGACCACAAGGGAAATATTGGAATGTGAATTAATTTGTTTTCATTAAGATCAATTTATTTTAACCAGGAAATAACGCGTTCACACGCGATGCGAAATTTTGACATACGGTGCACCAAGAAGACACATGATGAAGGCCGTATACAGCCGAACCATGTAATGTGGAAAAAGGGTGACTATATAATTTGCATTTAAGACGGAAATGTATGTGAAATGAAGATATATTAATGTAACAGGATGCTTAATTACAATATTAATAAAAGGAACCATTGGGTGCATCCGTTATTCTGTGTCAATATAAACTGAGGAGCTTTCATTGCTTGGAAGGAATGTAACCTGGACCCAGACTCCTTCGTCTCATGAGAAAATTCTTTCCCAAGACAAATCTACTTTGTCCCGTGTAGCAAAATCTGGATGGAATTGTCATATATATACCAGGCTCTTGCTCAATTAACTGCACAAAAACAAAATTAGCAGCTTCATCAAACTTTCGTGCCACCTTAACAAACAAATGAATCACTGAAGCGCTTTACAGAAGAGTTGATAGTAGGAGACCACGCGGCAACGTAATTGTGAGAAAACTGGCATGCTCAGTTGACTGGAAATCGAGTTCCTCAGTGTTTCCGAGAATTGCGTTGCCGTTTCCTAAATTTGCGCTGCTCCATCCACTAACATGTGCTCAAATCATGCTGATAATAATTCTCGGAAATCGTGGTTGCGTTGCGATTGCCAGTTTCCTGCCAGTTTCATTATATTATTTGCTCAGGTTCAAAGGCTGCTGGAAATATACCTGTTTACATGACCCCTCTAGTCGCGAAATCCACTTAATTATTACCCATGATAACCACACAACAAATTCCTTTTCAGTAAATATCTAGATACTCTCAAGTGACTAGACTGCCGTTGTAGCGGAAGCTACAAGAAACAGGCCATAATCTGCTGTACTGAGCCTGGACTGACAGAGACCCTGCATATATTTTATATATATTTATTAACATGTAAAATGTAAATATCCTTTACATTATTTCAAATGACTGTAACATAAGACAGAACCGTCCTCTCGCCAGAGATAGCGCATCACAATAGCAAGACCTAAGTGTCAAATAGTAATACATATCTGGTCACAAGCCGCAGATTTGGCTCGACACCAAGACTGACCGATTGACAGACCGTCATTCGCAATGTGACTTTGACATTGACTTTGTGAGTTATTTCGGAAGTCGGAAACTCGTTATTTCGGCTCGGAACCGAGTCGAGAATTGACAGCTAAATTTGGAGTCTGGCAACTGGGAGTCAGCTTAGACTGGGAGCTGGCAGCTGAAGGAAGTACAGACTGAAGCCAACGATCAAAGCATGAAGTTAGCGTGAAATGGTCGCCAGCCAGCAAACACATGAGCCCGGAAGCAGGGGAACATTCGCCGTTGGAAGCCATTACCAAGCACATTGACTGAGGGCACTAGTCTGTTTGTGACAATGATCTGTGAAGTGTAGTCACGAGCTGCAAAATTATCCAATAAATCCAGTTATCAGTAGAGAATCCATCTACCATCACTCGAACACGAGACAATATATTGCGTATATACCTCGGCATTGTATGTAAATTTCAAACATTCTGTTGAATTCGGAACAGGCTAATAGGCCTATAACCTTGAAGCAGAAGAAAAAATAAGGCATTTGTCAACAAATTTGTAGATAAATAACCAAAAATTTGTATCTTTTTACACGCCGATTGTTGTCTTATAGGTTATTTCAAGATGGACATACCTTCACGTGAACAGGTTCCCGAACGCTTTATCCAGCAACTGAGATGAGCTTTCAGTGCGTAATTACTTATATGAGGGATAACTTCTTTTCCTTATAGTGGAAACGACGTAATAGACGGGGGTTTACCTTGTTGCTGACGTTCGTGTTTTTTTTAATAGAAATTAAAGCATACTATTATAAGATCTGACTTCTGGTAGACCAAGGTCACACGTACAGGCCTTGCCGGAAGCCCAGTAACTCAAGTCGGATCTTAGTGTAATTTCTTCATCTGCATTTCCAGATATGCATCCGGTACCGTCGGCGATGTCTCGCATTACTTGAAGTCGCTAAATATGTAATGAAGGAGCATAAAGAAGGTAAATGATGGAGTACAAAGGTGTACTGAGTGTAATAAAGTGTACGTAATGAAGGTACTACAATCTAATAGGATATATATGATGAATGGAATATTGTAAATGTAATAAAATGAAAAGTGTAACTAAGTAGCAAAACTAGAGAGTTAGTGAATGATACAGCAACACCTGCTATTAATTACTATAATTGGAAAACCCCTCTAAGGTTCAATTAAAAGTATCATTTGGTATAATAGGGTAAATGTAAGAATAATGTATGAAGCCAGTCTAGACATGTTACTAATAAAAGTTGTTATCTTAGTCATCCGCACGGGACAGATGACATTATGACCCTGATGTTGATGCGAGGGAGTAAACAGTCGCTCTAACCAATTAATGTGATTAAGGCGACCGCATCAAAGTCTAAAAGTTAGGAATTGTAACATGTCATGACAAGTGTGTGTTATAGGTCTAAACTGGGAAGATGAGCTGACTCACGCTCATGAGCGCAGATGCTTTGTAATAATGGTAGATGCTATGAGTGAACTTCGTTCAAGCCAAGGCCCAGATTGGTCCTATAAATACATTAGCTCCAAGTAGCTCCAAGTATCATATCTATTGATCATTCTTCAGACGTCGAAGCTCTGCCGGTTTTGGGTTCAAGCCTTTAATCTGTAAACTTTCCTATATTCTACTGGAAGTTGGAGTTGTATTGCTATTGTAATTACATAGTATCAGTGTATCTTCAGAACATCTTATTAAATAACATTCTTATATTCTGCAACCAAAAGACTTAGATCTTTTGCGTACCTATGAAAGGTATCCTGAAATTCTACGTGAGCTTTCTCTCCGGTGACTTCACCACCTCATCACCGGCGGCAACGACATCAGCGAGATAAGCCCACTTCACCACTTCATTACAAATACACTGTAGTTTACAACTAAGTGGTCATGTATGCCTCATAACCAATAATTTCAGCCTACTTTTCTTATTTGGGATAAGTAAAGCAGGCTAAAATTATGGCGTAGTGAGATAACCTTATTGTCTGCGTGTCCCACCAAACTGACGGTACGCCTGTAGACCACTCGGGTCTAGCAGCCTTAAGGAGGGAGTCATGTACATGACGCCTGAAAGCAGGAAGAGCGTAGCCGGAATAGACAGCTGTTTCTAGGCAAAAGCTTTGGTAACACGTTCCAGCGGTAACGAATGTACAAATTTTGCAGGAAAGGAGACGATTAATGCTTCTCAGAAATTCTTGTGTTAATTTTGGTCTAGAAGAACTTTGCTAGAAGTTGTTAGGCGAATTTTATTTTAATTCAGTCCTCTTCTCAAATTCTCCAGAAAACTATCTTATAAAATTAATAGTCACACATAACAAATATGTATCTGCTATGTTGTCCCCTCCCTTGTTGGTGTCTCCACCTTATCGTGCTGAGGGGGTTTGAGTATGCCAAGGACCCTGAGAGCGCCGGGGAGGAGTGTTTCTAGAGGAAATGTCATGCAGGCGTTACAACAAGAAAAAGTGGGAAGATCAGAAGGAACATCATGGATACAAGACTGGAACATGGAATGTAAGGACTTTGAATCAAGCAGGAAAATTGGAGAATTTGAAAACGGAAATGGAGAAGAATGAGGTGTCTGTTTTAGGTGTCAGCGAATTGCGGTGGAAAGGACAAGGTGAAATAAGAAGTGGTGATTATACAATGCATTATTCTGGAGGTGAACGGGCTGAAAGAGGTGTGGCAATATTGGTGCATAAAAGTGTAGTGAGGAGTGTTGTTAAGAAGATTGTTTGTAATGACAGAATTATTGCTCTGAAGTTAAAGGCGGAACCGGTAGATATACTGATTATGCAAGTGTACATGCCAACATCAGAGTATGAAGATGATGAAGTGGAAAAATTATATGACATAATTTAAGAAATTCTTCAGGAAGATGGAAGAAGTGACACAAACAGCACCATATTTGGAGACTGGAATAGCATTCTTGGAGATGAACCATATCAGAATATTGTTGGATCACATGGAATAGGAAGACGGAATCACAGGGGTCAAATGCTTCTTGACTTTTGTGAACGAAATGGACAGATTATTACCAATACTTGGTTCAAGAAGCCAAAGAGAAAAATTTACGCATGGAAGGCACATGGGGATTGGAGGAGGCATCAGCTTGACTACATCCTTGTGAAACATCGATTCAGAAACAGTGTGAAGGATGTGAAGACGCTGCCTGAGGCAGATATTGACTCTGACCACAACTTACTGGTTCTCAAGTTCTGAACCAGGTCGAAGAAAATTATAAGATTTCAAAAGCGCAGACCTAGATGGGATTTAGAGAAGTTATATGCTCAAAGACAAAGCGTGCAGGAGACCCTAGAAGAGAAACTCGGTGCAATTGAAAGTGAAAGCAGAAATGCTGAAGTGCAGTGGAACAATATAAAAGAATGCATGTTAGATACTATTAGCGAATTGGTTGGTAAAGTTAAGGAGATAGCAAGAAAACCAGGGGTTACACAGGAGATGATGAGTAAAATGGAGGAGCGAAGGAAATGGAAGAATGTCAACAATGAAGAAGGCAGGAGGAAATACAGGAGACTGAGGAATGAATTGAAAAGAGCCACGGACAGGGCCAAAAAGGAATATCTTGAGAAGATATGTAATGAGATTATGGAATTTCAAAGAACAGGCCGTTATGATTTGATGTACATGAAGACAAAAGAACTAGGATGGAAAGAGAATCATGGGATTCAAAATGTTGGCATCGAAGACTCCCAGGGGAATAGAATAGTAGATCAGAGGCAAGTGCTGAAAATTTGGGAAAATTATATTTCAGAACTATATGATCGACCTAATCGGCCAGAAACCTTAGAAGTTGAACCGGAAGAAGAAGTAGATACAGACGAGAAAGGACCATATATTTTACAAAGTGAGGTGGAAAAAGCTATCAAGGAAATGAGGAAGGGAAAGGCTACAGGAGATGATGATGTACCTGGAGATGTGCTCAAGTTACTGGGAGAAGGTGGTTTGAAAACACTGACAAAACTAATGAACACCATATATGAAAGTGGAGAGTGGCCCAAGGACTTTACAGAAGTTACAATGATTGCCTTAAAGAAAAAGACAAAAGCTACAAAATGCAGCGACCATCGCACAATAAGTCTTATTGCACATACAGCAAAGATAATAGCAAAGATACTTAAAAGAAGAATTGAAAGGAAAATAGAGGATGTACTTGGAGAAGATCAGTTTGGATTTAGAAGAGGAAAAGGAACCAGGGATGCAATTGGGATGATGAGAATTATAGCGGAACGAACTTTGGAGATAGATGAAGAACTGTGTGTTTGCTTCATAGACTGGCAGAAGGCATTTGACCGGGTAAACTGGACCAAATTAATGCAGATCCTGAAAGAAACAGGTATCGATTGGCATGAAAGAAGATTGATTAGCAAATTGTACATGGATCAGAAAGTTAGAGTACGACTGGACAGGGGGGAGACAGGAAGTGTGCAGATTGGAAGAGGAGTTCGACAAGGATGCTGTTTATCACCAATTCTGTTCAACTTGTACAGCGAATGCCTTACCAAGGAAGCTCTGGATGGGCTCGGTGACTTCAAAGTAGGAGGGCAAATTATTCAAACTGTGAAATATGCAGATGACCTTGTGTTAATGGCTAAGGAAGAAACTGTGCTACAGGGCATGATTGATAGACTAATTGAAATTGGAAGGTGCTATGGCATGGAAATGAATGTGGAGAAAACAAAAGTAATGAAAATTTCGAGACAACCAACCCCAGTCACAATAAAGATAGACCAAAAACAAGTGGAGAATGTGAAATGTTTTAAATATTTGGGTAGCTTGTTAACAGATGATGGAAGGTGTACTTGTGAAATTAAATCCAGGATTGCCATGGCAAAAGCTGCATTTAGCAAGAAGAAGAATCTTTTTACCAGCAAATTGGACTTAAATTTGAGGAAGAAACTAGTGAAATGCTACATTTGGAGCATAGCTCTGTATGGGGCTGAAACATGGACACTTAGGGCAGTAGATCAGAAACATCTGGAAAGTTTCGAAATGTGGTGTTGGAGAAGAATGGAGAAGATCAGTTGGACCGATTATGTGAGAAATGAAGAAGTGTTCTTTGGAGTCAGTGAGCAGAGGAATATCATACACGAAATAAGAAAACGGAAGGCTAATTGGATTGGTCATATTTTATGCCGTAACTGCCTTTTAAAAGATGTTATTGAAGGAAAGATAGAGGGGCGGATTGAAGTGACCAGAAGATGAGGAAGAAGACGTAAGAAGTTGCTGGATGACCATGGGGACAGAAGAGGATACTGTCATTTGAAGGAGAAAGCTCTAGATCGCATTAAGTGGAGGAATTGTTTTGGAAGAGACTTTGGACCTGTCGTCTGACAGATTACTGATGATGATGATGATGCTGTCCCAGCGGTCGTTGTGAAGAATTCCACCTTCTGGGATACAACGCAGTGTAGTCCAGTGAAAAATTCAGTCTCCTTGTCACCTGCTTCATGCTGGTTTCCTTCTCGTCTTTTTTAGACCATTGTATATGAATGAATGTATAAGGGGTAGGCCTTCTCGGCCCCTGCACCGCGACTTACAATGGTATATTGTGCTTTATTTCGACCTTTAATATTGTTGTGATATGTTAATCCGGAACCTCGGTTGACGTTCAACGGGCTACAAAGCGTTATTTCTTAAAGATGGAACCCTTCATAATACTAATCTTATACATATGATGTTTTACAAATGGGCA